TCTTTTCACCTATATACCACACTAACTAGTAACTCACCTGTACGTCATGTAGGCAGTACGTCTTTTCACCTATATACCACACTAACTAGTAACTCACCTGTACGTCATGTAGGCAGTACGTCTTTTCACCTATATACCACACTAACTAGTAACTCACCTGTACGTCATGTAGGCAGTACGTCTTTTCACCTATATACCACACTAACTAGTAACTCACCTGTACGTCATGTAGGCAGTACGTCTTTTCACCTTTATACCACACCAACTACTAACATACCTGTAGGTCATGTTGGCAGTACGTCTTTTCACCTTTATACCACACTAACTAGTAACTCACCTGTACGTCATGTTGGCAGTACGTCTTTTCACCTCTATACCACACAGTGTGACACTAACTAGTAACTCACCTGTACGTCATGTAGGCAGTACGTCTTTTCACCTATATACCACACCAACTACTAACATACCTGTACGTCATGTTGGCAGTACGTCTTTTCACCTTTATACCACACTAACTAGTAACTCACCTGTACGTCATGTAGGCAGTACGTCTTTTCACCTTTATACCACACCAACTAGTAACTTACATGTACGTCATGTAGGCAGTACGTCCACCCACCTGTAAACCACACTAACTACTAACATACCTGTACGTCATGTTGGCAGTACGTTTTTTCACCTTTATACCACACTAACTAGTAACTCACCTGTACGTCATGTAGGCAGTACGTCTTTTCACCTATATACCACACTAACTAGTAACTCACCTGTACGTCATGTAGGCAGTACGTCTTTTCACCTTTATACCACACCAACTACTAACATACCTGTACGTCATGTTGGCAGTACGTCTTTTCACCTATATACCACACTAACTAGTAACTCACCTGTACGTCATGTAGGCAGTACGTCTTTTCACCTATATACCACACTAACTAGTAACTCACCTGTACGTCATGTAGGCAGTACGTCTTTTCACCTTTATACCACACCAACTAGTAACTTACCTGTAGGTCATGTAGGCAGTACGTCCACCCACCTGTAAACCACACTAACTGGTACGCCGTACTTACCTGTACGTCATGTAGCACGCACTGCAAGAACCCACTTCCATCTCGCAACACCACAAACATCAAGTTCTTTCCTGAAATGGAACAAATTGTTTTCTGTTCGTAAATACGTTCTGTCAGGTTGGTCTAGCGGTAGAGCGCCAGGCCTGTGAGGGACGGGTTAGTGGTTCGATCCCCGGCACGTTGCTGTATAAAGGCAATGATCTTGAACACATCATTTAACCCCATTTCACCTTACTTCACCTCACCTCACCACACCTCACCTAACACCACATTCTATCAGATGCAACAAGTGTTAATTATTTACACACATTTTACTCAACGTTCTCAATATCCAGACCCGTGAAGATCGGGGGTAGAATAGGTCTTCAGCAATCCATGCTTGTCGTAAGAGGCGACTAACAGGATCTAGTGATCAGGCTCGCGTGGATCAATGCTCATGATGTCAATCACGATTATTTACAGACCGCCGTCATGTAGCTGGAATATTGCTGAGTGCAGCGTTAAACAACAAAAGATACTATCCACCGACACTGAAGTTCTGCCAATGAGTTGAACCTTACGATAATCATATACAATCATCTTGTTTTCCACTGTTCACATAATACCTTGCCTCCTCAAGCGATGTACCCATCCTTGAACTTTGACCCTTTTATTGCGGTTTTGAGTAGCCTCTCTTATCCGTATCTGCAAAGACAGACTGGAATACACAAGGGAAGACAACAGCACGGTGCATGCAGATAACACATGGGAGAGCATCAGTATCTTCGACAGCTGGGGCAACGAATAGTTTAAGCCTATGACATAGACTGAGTTTTGTTTGAGACAGGTCATTGCTTGAAAATATAATTTGCCTGTGCTCAAACCATTTTTAGGGCAGATTTTTTGCAAGATATCCAACATGTTAAGCAAACAAAATTTTCAGTAAAATGTGACAACAAACAATTTTTTCCAGTTTCTCGGGAATATATTTTGTTTATTTTAAAAGCAAATCCCTGGCCGACATGTCAAAAGATATTTCGTCGATCTCTATAATCTCAGCAGTTCAAACTCCTTAAAGCGAAACGGTATTGCGTAATCTTTAACAACGTTGACATTACAAGTAGATGATGCAAAGAGATTAAACGTTAAACAAATTTTCGTTTGGCAATGTGGGGACAAACAAAAGTTTCGCATCTCAATCTCAGTCTGTTTTCAAATTGCGGTAATACCAGTTGTAGGCCCATACGAGGGGTACATCAAACCGTATTCTCCGAGGGTTTAGCCAAGAACTGACATTATGCTCTTGCTATCAAAGTGGTGAAGTATCGGTATTTGGAACTGGGCACCTAGTCGGTGATCTAACTCACTTGTTTCGGCTTTGGAAGACTGGCATCCATCTTTATTGTCACCTTTCTGGCTTCTGCCAGGTTCCTTTCCGTCCGCATCGCGTCCTCCGCCTGCAACACAGTCAAACCATCAGTTCAACACACTAGAGTCGCTGTGCATTCCGGCATGCCAGAACATGATTGTTGGTTCGAACTAAATATTCATTTTCAAGTACTTACAAGACCAGAAGCAACACCTTCAAAGGAGTTTCAAGTTACTCTAAAACAGAAAGTCCCCTGCCTCTGACTGCATAATTATAAGAAATTATTTGCACTTCATGTTTAATGACATCACTACCGGTTTGGGGAAACATGTGTCTAATGCAACACTACATTAAAACTGAAAGTCCCATGCATCTAACGTTATATATAGGAAAGTTACATGTACATCCAGTTTAATGACAACACTTCCGGTTAGGGAAAACGGTTTCTTAGGAACAACTTTAGGAATAAATATTTCTTTCGTTGTCTAAGGAATAAATCTTTCCCGAAAATTCTTGAAACAAATAATTAAAAATATGATGTCCACATGTGGAATTCAAAAAAGCAATCTCATTAAAATTAGACCTCAGTTCTCGCTACCGCTAAACAAAGATCTGAGGACATTCTATTACAGGTCACGTCAGAACGACCTTTCATCCGACTAATCGGAGCATCGCTTACCAGATTATGAAAGTGACAGTCGGAATGTGATTTCTGATCATGCAGCCTCGAAAACTATAACTCGTGTTTAACGACTGCATCCATACAATCTAGACCATCTATTAGTCATTCAAGAATATTCTTTTGTTCAGGTTTCAAATTTGTAATAGAGAATTTGTCAAAATACGTTTCGAGGCGAAGACGCAAATTTGAAATTAGTGCCGGAAAGCACGAGAAAGCTGCCTTCTGATTGGTCATTCCATTGGTCGGTCAAAGTTCGCGCAAGGTCGGTCTGACATGACCCATAAAGGGATGTCATCAGATCTTTGTTTAGCGGTAGCGAGAACTAAGATCTGATTTTAATGAGATTGTCAAAAAAGAGAATGAAAATATAGGTATACTATTCATTGAACGTAAGTAACCGTGACATGTTACTGATATCAGGTTCTCATCACATGTGATGCAGAAGAATATGACATATGACTTTTTGAAAATGACAAACATGCTTTGACACAGACCATCACCGTGATCTTAACCTTATAAGTAGGGCATTCTACCAGACTATAATCCCCCAGCCCTAATCCCTTAATCAGGTACCTGAATTTCAATTTTGAGCTGGATCAGAACACCCCACGCATTCGTTCGTCACCACTCGCATGTTTCCGTGACATACAACAAGGACATCCGCTTGCAGCGGAATGGGACGAATTGTTCACGAATGCACGGTGACCCACATTCGTCACCACTCGCCCCTTTCCGTAACCTGCAAGAAGACTCGTCCCCCTATCGATGAATGTTATGTGCGAAAATACGACAAACCAATCAGAATGCGCGTATGATTTCAAGTACTTCGTCAAAGAATCCCTCAGAAATTTTTTTTTGATTTTACATATGTCTTGCATCTAAAAATATACCCAAGACACAGTTAAATGTGTTCATTCATACTGTATATTTCCGCACGTCCCGATGTGCTTTAAATTCCATCTGAAATATATATAATATATGGGGAAATATATGTGAACCATTACGCAACGAATTGACAATTGGGCAACAATGCAGTTTACCGGGCGCAGCCCGAGCTCTACCATCCGCTCAATTACCGCGCTATAGTGCCACCGCTGTCTCGTTATACCGTTACCGTGCCTCACGCTCTGGTGACTCTCGCTTCACGATCCAACACCCGTTTTCGGTCTTAGGGAAACTTACACATCTTTACAATCAAACACCCGTTCTCGGTCTAGGGAAACTTACACATCTTTACGATCAAACACCCGTTCTAGGTCTTAGGGAAACTTACACAACTTTACGATCCAACACCCGTTTTCGGTCTTAGGGAAACTTACACGTCTTTACGATCCAAAACCCCTTTTCGGTCATTAGGGTCAGTGGGTTTGGGCAAGGGTTAGCCATAAATTCTTACCTTTTCAAGCGATAATCCAGTTAATCCCATTGGTCGGTCATGTTGACATAAACAATTGCGGGTGTGGTTTCAAGAAAAGATGAATGGGAGAGCGGGCAGTGACGTCACACGCATGCGCAATTCATTGTTTACTGAATTACGCATGCATGTCAATGGGGATTCTAATGACCTGTTAAACGAGCACTGAATACATGTGATAGCGCCTGTGGTCCAGTGGTAGAGCGTAGGCTAATTAACGCATTAATTAGCAGAGCCGGTGAGCCGGCGAAGCGCGTTCGAGCCCCCACAGCGCTAATTGGATCTGAAAAAATGCGCCCGGTAAAGTGCACTACTCCCGACAATTGTTTTGGGTGTGCCCCTTTGCGCTAAGGCGGAACCCGGTCGCAAAAATGGCCACGGATGGGGCACGACATTCGTCACCACTCGCCCCTTTCCGTAACCTGCAAGAAGATATGTCCCGGAATAACACGAGTTGGTCACGAATGGGTGACCCAGTGCGGATGTGAACGAGCCATTGTCTGCTCGTGTCTCATTAGACCGGATAAGATGCCGTCGTGTTGTGTGTGGCAATATGCTGGTGGGGGCGAATGCAGTCTGATTTGGGTTTTTCCAGATTCACGGAAAATCCACATTCGCCACCAACCCGTGCCATTCCTGGACTTGCCGAATAGCAATGCCTTCTTGAAGGTCACGGAAATATACGTTGTGAGTGGTGACGAATTGAAGACGCAGCAGGTGACACTGCTGTTCCCAAGCACAACGAGTGTTTTGTCACATGCTACAGTATAGATACCGCTTTGCAAGGTAATGTCTGAATAATTAACAACAACCCAACACACAAGTGTCGCCCGAGGAAGTTGTTTCTGAGGTTCGAGGGATTTTCTCAAAACCTGGTCAGTTAATATTTATTGCAGATTTGCTCAGCAGTCACTGTACACGTAATTACATTCGCTTTTGTTGATTTATTACTTTGAAACATTGGTGTAAAATGGCAAGTTTAACCATTGTTTTATAATTATTTGATGACATTCTGCACTACGTAGTCAGATGGGGTATGTTTGCCTGAAAAATTTAGATCTTACTTGCTTGTTGTTGGTTTTTTATCAATTTTAGTTTTTTTACTGTGTCTCTATTAAGTGCTAGTAACATACAGTATTAATAATCGAGTTAATATTTGCCCAATAGCAATACTGTACCTCTCTGGTCGATCTGCTTTCTGCGCTGCTTTGCTCCTTCTGCCAAAGTTTCAAACACTTTTTGTACTGAGACTTGGAAATGACGTCATAAGCCTGAAATGACACATATTTATTTAAGATCTGCATTCTGTTTATACATACCTTTTTATCATGTGGTGTGTTTGTTAATATCCTAAGGAACTGAAGTGTCTGTCAGTTGTACCCATTTTTGTTAGTTAGCATCAGTATCCATGTTGAACAGTATGTGTGTCTTTATAATCGTTGTAGATTAAGCTGTATTATCTCATATTTACGAGAAAAATTGTTTTGTTAAACATCATATCTATAAATAAATCAATCTCATTAAAATCAGATCTTCTCGCTGCCGCTAAACATAGCTTTAGCGGTAGCGAGAACTAAGATATGATTTTAATGAGATTGTAAATAAGTATGAGTATATTCACCTCAGTCGATTTCGTCTCGTCTCGCGCGTCCACGTGTATCGTGGGGAACGGCTCTCCTCCGACATGGCGCATAGCCTGAAATATTAACATGACTATTATCTGGTACAAACATGCTTACATATAGATGCATAGAGATCATAAGCAGAGTGTGTTAGTAAATATAAGTAATATTAAATATTATTAATAAAATAATATTAATATTATTATATTATATGTTCGTAATAAAATGATATTATGCGAACATTTGTCACACGATGGTAATAATCATCTCTTTATTGTATACAACAGACTAAATTAACTTAACTTACCTGAGACATGCGTGTGTGTGTGTGTGTGTGTGTGTGTGTGTGTGTGTGTGTGTGTGTGTGTGTGTGTGTGTGTGTGTGTGACGCCGCACTGAGCGACATTCCAGCTATATGACGGCGGTCTGATAATAAACGACAGTAATGTCTAACACTAACAAGACCAAATAGCGTCCATTCCAATTTCGAATGGACGTTGGAATGCTTTGGAAAGATCGCTCACTCCAAACTTTCCAAAGCTTGGAAGGATCGATCTTTCCAGAAAATCCAAAATTGGAATGGCAACATTTCCAAACATATTTCCAACACAGGATATGTTTGGAATGACTTGAAATGGTTTGGAATTGTTTGGAAATATGGTTAGAAGGAACAAGTTAAAATATGTTTTATCAGTTATTTGAACAATAAAAAGACAATGAATTATTTATTGAGTTTAAACTATATATAATAAATAATAAATTTATCCCAAACATTCACTACTTGTCTGTCTAGCGAGGGGCTTTTACAGTCGCATTCTCCCTAAGGTGTGAGAGAGACCCACACTTGACTCGAAAAGACACTTACTTACTTACTTATATTGGAGATTTAACGTGCTTATGTCGCACACGGGCCCGGCCAGGCCATTTAATGTGTTTCCAAAAAGGGGAAAAGTGTGTTTGTGCAACCCAGGAGGGGGGGCTGACTGACTGATATAGAAGATTTAACGTGCGCTTTCCGACTGTAGCGTATTTCGCACACGGGCCTGGCCGGACCATTTAGTGTATTCCGAAAAGGGTGAAAGTGGTGTGTGCAACCCCAAGAGGGGGCTATTAGGGGTTGCTTATATTGAATTTTTGGAATTTTTAAATTTGGAATTAATGCCGAGGTGGGTGGAGGAGGGAACTAAGGGAGCCGGGTGAGGTGGGTGTTTGTATGTTTATTGGATTTTGGATTGGTAGATTAATTAGTTTTTAGATGCGCTTAATTAGGTCTGTTTAGATTAGGAATACGCTTAGGGCCTTGAAGTTTTCTAGTTTATTTTGAGGGTTTAGTATTTCATCTAGAGTAGGAACCTTATTTAGATTGAGGGTGGTTTGTAGTGTGGTTCTGTGTGTTTGGTAGTGGGTGCAGTGGATGAGTGCGTGTTCTGTGGTTTCGGGTTGTTTGCAGTGGGGGCAGTTGCCTGTGGTGTGTCTTTTAAGTTGTTTTAGGTGGTTATTTAGGTTCGTGTGTCCTGTTTGGAGTTTTGTAATTAATCTGTCAATTATTTTTAGAGGGGTGTAGGATTTTAGGTTTGGCTAGTGGAGGGGGGGGGCTTTAGGGGTTGCTTATATAGTAATTTTGAAATTTTGAGATTTTGAAAGAATGCCAAGAGTGGGTGGGTGACGAACTAAGGGAGCTGTGTGTGTTGGGTTGTTGTTAGATAAGGTAGTTTTGGTTTTAATATTTTATTTGGGGTTTAAATGCGACTAATTAGTCCTGTTTTAATTAGGTATAAACCAAAGGCTTTGAATTTTTCTAATTTATTTTGTGGATTTAGGATTGATTCTAGTGTAAGTGTGGTTTTAAGATTTAGGGTGGTCTGTAGTGTTGTTCGGTGTGTTTGGTAGTGTGTGCAGTGAATGAGTACGTGTTCTGGTGTTTCTTGTTGTTTGTAGTGTGGGCAGTTTCCTGTTGTGTGTAGATTAGCTTTTTACGGTGATTATTTAGTTTGGTGTGGCCTGTTTGTAGTTTAGTAATTATTCTGTCGATTTTTTTGGATGGGTGTAGTATTTTTGGTTTATTTAGGGGTTTTTTGATTACTTTCCTGATTTGGCTATTTAAGTTTTGGTATATATTTTGCCATTTTTTGTTGATTTTTTGTTTAGTGAGACTTTTGATTTCTGATTTTGAGCTGGGTAAGTTTAAGCTTATTTCTGGGAGTGTAAGGGATAATGTTGCTGCTTTATCTGCCTTTTCATTTCCAAAGAGTCCTACGTGGGCGGGGGTCCAAATGAACTCTATTTGTTTACCTGCCCTAGTTAAGTTGTTTGAGCTATTGAGTATTTGATTTATTAGTTTGGGGTGGTTTTTAGTGTTTTTATTTTTGAGGGCTTGTAGTCCACTGAGGGAGTCGGTTAGGATGAGGATTTTTTGTTGTTTTTTAGATTGCTGATTGTGTAGTGCTGAGACAACTAATAGGTCTCAAGATTAAGTATTCGGCTGGATGGCAGCTGCCATTTAATTACAAAACAGACAGTCGTCTAGACGGCTCACATGTAAGTGCGCCGACATGTGCCTAAGATCATAAAATGGACAATCTTTGGTGACATCTAATTTATTGTTGTCTCACGCCAGAGCTGTGAATAATTCTGTTCATTGAACAATTGGAATTCAGGAAGTTATCAATCATTGTTTTACTTAACATAAGATAAGATAAGTTGTTTACAACATAATATTATGATGTCAGGACGTACTACAGTCAAAACCATATATTCTAAAATCAATTTAATGACATACTATGATTTCCAAGTCCCGATTAGCAAATCAATGAGGTATCAGTTTCACCACATGTGCACAGACCGCCTATACTTTTATATATATTTTCATAACTATTCTCCAGTTAAAGTCCTATCCTCTTATCAAAAAATCTGTGAGAGTAATCATCATTAACGAAACTCATTCTCGTCAAAGAATATAGAACAAATGAAGAATCAGATGCATACATTTATTGCCATGCTTCATTCATTACGAAGTAGATTTACATACATTTGTGAATAGCACTTAAACTGTGATAATGAATTTTACCATTGTCCATATTATATTATAAATATTAACCATAATATGGATTTCCGAATATATAAACGACTCCAACGTTGATATTTCAGACAAAAACAAAGTCAGCTGTCTTTTACGTTCATGGGGAAAGGGTTTGCTTTCACAATTGAACATTTGTTTTCAGCAAAGGACAATCAAATCAAGCCCAAAACACGAAAAATACACATATATGGTTAGCGACCGCCTTTATACAGCGAGGGGGGAAATTCGTCTGCTCTAACTGCCTTCACTAGAACATTCCAGCCCTTAATTACCGAGGCAGCTGTGACGTAGTAGCATTACATTCGCTGCGTTTGCAGGATATAAGATGTGTAATCTGTGGAGTGACTAAAGTAATATTACGGTTGAAATCTTACTTGCATGGTTGTTTTAATAGAAAACTTACGGTTTAAAAACACAATTGTTCTTATATAATGTTTTTAGGTTTGGTTTATAAATACAAGAGAAGATTTTTTATACATATAAAACTGTTCGAAAATACAGCTGAACAATAGAAAAAAAAAATAGGAGTTGTGAATAGTGACAAATTTTAATTACATCACCGTGTCAATAATTATTGATTGATTCCGTCAAACAACTGTCAAACCATTTATTGCCATGTACGTACATGTACACAGGAAGTCGGCGCTGTCGGAGGCTCCAGGTAAATAAACATCGTGGTTTTATGACGGGAGATCAGACGAACCGTGAACCAGGGGCATGCGACGTAATTACACCTAAAGGTGGTAGCACCAGGGTATTGTCTCTTGGACTGGCTTATTGACCGTACGTATAATTGGTTAATATATTCGTTTTGACACCCGTGTTTCATGCGCATCCCGGCTCATAAGCAGAATACAGACAAATGAGGCCCCGTGATCTTTCGGCCGTACCGAACAGTCAAGCTGCGATCTCGGAACTGAATCCAATTGCAAGCGGAGACAAGATTACTTCCCTTACCCAAACATGATCGTTGCTCAGAAATGTTCAAATCTATCTTCAGTAAATCATGAAATTAATGCGAGCATGACATTTATGCGAAAAATGCGATCGTCAGTCCCTCTGATTATTTTAATATGTTTCATTTC